AAGACATGTGCTCCAGACCCCTCACCAGTTTCGTTGCCCTTCTTTGCACATGCTCCAGCGACTCAATGTCCTTCTTGTGGTGAGGGGCCCAAAACTGAACACTCAAGATGTGGCCTCACCAGTGCCGAGTACAGGAGTAAAATCACCTCCCTGGTCCTACTGGCTACACTGTTCCTGATACAGGCCAGGATGCCATTGGCCTTCTTGGCCACCTGGGCACACTGCTGGCTCATGTTCAGCCAGCTATCAGTCAACATCCCCAGGTCCCTCTCTGCTGAGCAGCTTTCCAGCCACTCCTCCCCAAGCCTGTAGTGTTGGGGAGGGTTGTTGTGGCCAAAGTGTAAGACCTGGCATTTGGCCTTATTGAAATTCATGCAGTTTGCCTTGGCCCATCGATCTAGTCTGTCTAAATCCCTCTGCAGAGCCCTCAAGGCAGATAAACACTTCCACCCAGCTTGGTGTCATCTGCAAACTTACTGAGGGTGCATTCGATCCCCTCATCCAGATCATTGATAAAGATGTTAAACAGGACTGGCCCCAGTACTGAGACCTGGGGGACACCACTCATGACCGGCCGTCAACTGGAATTAACTCCATTCACCACCACTCTCTGGGCCCGGCCTTCCAGCCAGTTTTTTACCCAGCAAAGTGTATGCCCATCCAAGCCATGAGCAGCCAGTTTCTCCAGGAGGGTCACCTTGCAGGAGGATGCAGCCTCTTTCTCTGTGATTCTTTACATGAGAAAAAGGAGTGGTTTGTATATAAAGGCTGCATTTCAACGCTCGCTAATGATTTCAAAGATGTTTCTTAATCCTTTTATGAAAAGTGAAATATGTAGGATTCTGATCACTGTTAGGAATAACTGCGTGAAATGGTATGGCCTATGCTATTCAAGAGGTTTAATAATACTTTTTCTTCTTAGGATCCATGTATTCATTTAATTTTCCCTGTGCTTTGCAGAAAGACTGCAAATCATGCCATGCAGTGATTTCAGGGAATTTGCAGTTTTCAGTGGCTTTCTATATAAGTGTATATCTCTAAACATTTAGCTTTTATAACTTTGGGTGCACTGTAAATAATCATTAGATCTCACTGTGTTCTTGAAACAAATACGAAAGAAACATGCTATGATGAGAAAAAACATTCATCCTCATCTCATATGGGAAAGGTGTAAATACCTACAGGAATGCATCGCCTACTTTACTGGCTTTTTTAAAAAGGGGATGGAATGAATTAATGGACCACGGACTATTATAAAGAAGAGCGTTACAGTACTTTTCTAAGATCCTTTCTTCCATTCCAGAGAACCTTTGTCCTTCCTCTTCACAGTAATACAGCTGCAGTTCCTTGTGAAAGCATTAGGTTTGTGAGAGTTTCCCCATCTACACAATGTGTTTTTATCTACACACGCACTTGTAGAGTACACACAGGGACTGTATCTGTAATTCTGGTCTTCTTTATTTCAGGGAACTTTTGGAGCTCAAATGAAAACTGGTTGTCCTGAAAGGTCCATACTGTGTTCTGTAAAGAAATTCCCAAGAGAAATCTAAGAATTTTGTCTTTATTCACCCTCAATAAGTGACTAAGGTAGCCTAACAACATCCAAAGATTCCTGTGTACAAGATCCCTTAACCAGCAGGGAACATTTCATTGCAGGGGGGTTGGACTAGATGACCTTTAAAGGTCCCTTCTAACCCAAACTATTCTATGATTCTATGATTCTGTGATTTGTATGATTAGATTAGTACCGAAGGCTCCAGAGAAAGACAGGCGTCCAAGAGCACAAAGCCAAACATATGCAATTGTGTTATGCAGCTGTTCTACAACAGACATCTTCCATACAATGGTATGTCTGCCATGTGGATCTAGTGTCTAAATTAAGCTATATAAAAAGACACATCTTGTTGTCATCAAGTTGCTCTTATCTTATGGGAAAGAAGATGTCAAGATTTTAAGAAAGCAAGAAATAGATATTAAAAAAAGACCACACAATACTGAGAAGAAAGCTTGTGCTGAGAGAGACTGATTTAAAGATACTGTATAACTAAGATAAAAACATAGCCTGTAGAGCAAATCTGCAGAAAGGAAAAACTTTGTCTCACAGTGTCACTTGCTATCTTCGGCTGTCCTGAGGATGAGACATCAGAATTATGCAAGTCATTAATAACCAGCACAAAAAATTAAACCCGGGTATGGGAGTTTACAGTATTAAAAGAATGTAATTATTGTGTGATGGCAATTGTTGAATTTTTTAAACTGCATTTCAAGACAATTAATTGTCTACACTACAGTTCAGAAAAGGTGTCAGGCTGACATACTGGAGGATTCCTTACTGAGTCAAATTCCTTACAGAATCAAATTCCTTACAGTGAGTATGGCTTCTTGGCAATTGCGTAAAACGCCATTAAATACCAGAAAAGCAAGCCTAAAAACATTTAAAAATAATTTCTCAAGCAATAACTTTTCTATGCTTTTATAAATTCATATGCTTGCTTTGTTGTTGGAAAAAAGGTCCAGAAGGTAAAAGGGAAACTCATCATTAAGGATACACACACCCAGACGTGACCCTGTGTGCATCTGTGTGGAGGAGCGATTCTTTAAAGGAAGCGACTGTTGAGCCATCCAGAACTATTTAGTCTGTGGCATCTCTTGTGATACAACCAACTACAGATAGAGCCTAAGTAATGTCTTTGAGATATGGATATCTACAGAAAATGGGATCAAGACACAGAACCTAAAAATATAAGCAGACCATAGCAAGGTTCTGATCATTATGAAATCTGAAGTTACTGTGGTATCAAAACCATGGGTTCCATTAAGTGACACAAGGCTAGAACGCATGTAGCCTTACCTTAAATGAAAGTCCCCTGCATTCTGCTTAGTCAAGTACTGTATTTCTGAGATCTGCTGCTGCAGCAGTATTAAATATAAAGTGCTGTTTCAGTTGGGTCATTCTTTATTCCCTTTACATACATTACATGTATATGTATGTACGTGTATGTGTGTGTGCAGCTGAAGCATGTAAATAAACCCCACAATTGACTACTTCAGGCTACCTCTGCCAGAGCTCTCAGTAGAATGAAGCATAAATTTCCTTAAGACCCATTGGCAAACTCATGCTCTATTCAAACTGAGATCCTTCCTCACCTTCTGCAGACCTGCAAACTCATTAATGGCTCTATATTGCTTATTGAGTCATTCAAGCATACACAGAGCATGCTAGATTTCTTCCTGCTATCTCCTTCTCCCTGGGTTATATAAGGACAACCTTTCATTTTTGCAAAGCTTGCTAGGTTATGCTGCTTGCAAAGGCACTGATGAATATGTGTTTAGTGGCAAACATGTTTACACTTTCCTCTGTTTTAAAGGACTGATAAACTTAAACGGATAGCTAAAATGAGCCCTCTTCAAGCTGAAGACAGAGAAAAGTCATTCTGAGGGATTTCGACCTCTAAGGTGGGAAAGCAAGAAGAATTATGATTTTTTAATTTAGAGCAGATGACTTTCCATTCTGTTTTCTTTTAATAGTTCATCATGTGAACAGGAATGAATAAATCCTACTGTTTGCTTTGTCCTATGGACAACAGAGAAAAACCCAATGATTTCAATAATTATATTATCCAAACTTCACATATTATTCAATTTGTCTTATCTCATCCTGTAATATGCATAGCGGTGCATTCAAAGATGAACAACAAGGAACTGGTGACTTTTCTATAGGCTTCTAATCAGGGTTTGTTTGCTTATAAATCTGTCAGAAAAACATGGTTTTAGAAGGTAGATATGAGCTTCAAGAGGCAAATAAACACCTGATGGGATTTTCAAAAGTACAGAGGTTTAACCATGACTTAAAACGGTTTTAATTGAATATGTAGATACTTTTGCAAATCCTATTAGCAGCCTATTTACATACCCTGCCTGCAGTCAGAATGCCTGACTATGGCACCACTGAGTGTCATGGGGGATGACACTGAGGTGATTTCTGCTACCATGTAAGCAATAAACTTCCTGAATTTAGTTCCATGGAACTATCATAGATGATGTCTGCTTCATCTTATCTGTAGTTGCTCACCACACTGTGGAGAAATTGGCAGGTGAGGAGTCAGACCATTCACTGGTATTAAACAGTTTTCAATGGCTTTAATCTTTTAAGGTTACTCAGGTTTCCATAAGATTCAGGACAGGTGAAATAAGAAGGATTCTAAACTGAAAGGTCAGTCCTAAAGGTAAGAATTTTATTCTCCTATATACTCTTTTACAAAGCTGCACTGATCCAGTAGCTCCAGGCAGGGTATGTCTTTCACGACCATTCTTATTCTTTTTTACTATGCATTCACCAGCAGCATGAGAGGGTGCAATGTTCAGCATTCCTGGTTCCCAGTTATACAGGAATGAAAGGAAGGAAGAGCTGTGTAACTGGCCAGTCCTTGGGCATACTGAACCACAACAGTGCCCCTGGACTAGGTCACTGCTAGATCAGACACTTCACAGAGCATCTCCTTCTACTGCCTTTTTTATCACATTATGGAGGATGGTTCATTCCAGTGGCCCATGAGCAAGAGTGTCAGAACTTCATGACCTTGTAGCATTAACACCCGTGTATCTGAATACCCTGGACATGGCTTGATAGAAACTAAAGGACTGAGGTGATCCTAAGCTTTTAAAAGAGTGCCAGAGGACTGGGAAAGCACTCTAATGCACTTCCTCTAGCTTATCCGGTTATGACTACTCTAGCATAATAGTGTTCAGTGACATACAACCCTCCTTTATGTTTCTATGATTATTATACAAGCCTGCTTTCCATCTCCCTTGCTTGCAATACATTTTTTCAATTTTACAGTAAAATCTGGTTGATATGCATTACATTTCTTCATCTTAAAAGAATATTAGGATGAAACATGTCTGAAATAATCCAATAGTTTTATAACAGGTTTGTATCGTCCATTGCTGTTTAAGGCATTAGAAAATGCATTGTTTATCCCAACAAGCACACCACTTACCCTCAGCATAGGGCCATTCTGGAACACATGGGGTTCGTCACAAACTACACAGTATTCATTCAATACTGGTATCCTCTGCTCAGCAAATTCAATAGTCTGAGAACAATGAAAATGAGAATAACAACATCTGCTTAAAAATAATTAACAGTCCGCTCATGCTCCACAGTGTTTCATAAATGGGTAAGATATGACATCCTACCTGCACAAGAAAGCCACGGTCTCGTACCAGAATGCATTTTGCACCATAATTTTGCTGCAAGGAAAAAGTTCAGGCAACTTCAGTGTTGGTAGACTAATTATAAGGAAATTGTAAAACATTTGTATTTTTTGCATGCAAATAAGTTAAACAATATTTGCAACTAAAAAAGATCTCTCATTTGCATAAACCAAACATTACAAATAATCAATCCTTTTACTGTTTGCTGAGTGTGGGGTAGATTATTAGCATTTCTTTTTAGTTCTTAAATCTGATGAGGTTTTCTATCGCAGCATCCCAAAACCTGTAATCTCAAACGAAAACACCAGTGCCTTTACTTCATTATAATAAACTGGCATTTGATAACTTCCTTTAAATTTTAACTGAGTATTATCTGTACAAATATGGACTATACGCTTAGGCTTGAATGACTAATATAAATCTTAGAACAGCCAAAAATATTTTTCTTTTATATATTTACTAAGATCTCACTTCTGTGAGCACCATGCTGAAAGTCCTCTGTGCTCAGATCCTACTCAGATCCTTTCTGCCTTTTTATTTCAATATACAACAAATAAATTAGAAGGAACTTTTGTTACAGGAGTCACCAAGGTACAAAATTCCCTCTGGGCTGGTATCTATCTCAATCAACCCTTGTTTTGACTAAGAGTCAGATCAGTTCCATTTACAGCTTTTTGGGGTTTTGTTTTGTTTATAATCTTATTTCCTTTCATTTCTCTAACTGCTTATTTGGGAAACTTTTCCCTTTTTTCTCCCGGGAAATAATCCTCCTAATTGTATTCATATATGAGATTCAAATATTTAAGCTGAGAACTGAAGAGAAATTAGGGTCCTGATTCATTGCTTCCACATTCCACTGACTTCAAATCGAGTTAGACACCCAGATTACCCATATATATGTTATATAGGTTACCCATATATATTTACATATATACATGGGTGTATATATATACACCCATATACTTTGACACTGTCCCACACAACATCCTGGTCTCTAAATTGGAGAGACCCAGATTTGTTGGATGGACCACTCGGTGGATAAGGAATTGGCAAAGAGTTGCAGTCAACAGCTCGATGTCCAGGTGGAGACCAGTGACGAGCGATGTTCCTCAGGGGTAGATACTGGGACCGGTGCTGTTTAACATCTTTATCAACAACGTGAAAAGTTGGATTGAGTGCACCCTCAGCAAGTTTGCTGGCGACACCAAGCTGTGTGGAGCAGTCGTCACACTGGAGGGAAGGGATTGCCATCTAGAGGGACCTAGACAGGCTTGAGAGATGGGCCCGTGCCAACTTCATGAAGTTCAACAAGGCCAAGTGCAAGGTCCTGCACATGGGTTGTAGCAATCCCAAGCACAAACACAGGATGGCCGGAGAATGGATGGAGAGCAGCCCTGAGAAAGAAGGGCTTGGGGGTGTTGGTTGATGAGAAGCTCAACATGACTTGGCAATGTGCACTTGCAGCCCAGAAATCCAACCGCATCCTGGGCTGTATCAAAAGAAGCGTGGCCAGCAGGTCGAGGGAGGTGCCCCTCTACTACACTCTGGTGAGACCCCACCTGGAGTACTGCGTCCAGCTCTGGAGCCCCCAACATAAGAAGTACATGGACCTGTTGGAGTGAGTCCAAAGGAGGGCCACAAAGATGATCAGGGAACTAGAGCACCTCCCCTATGAAGACAGGCTGAGAGAGTTGGGGCTGTTCAGCCTGGAGAAGAGAAGGCTCTGGGGAGACCTTATAACAGCCTTATAGTACTTAAAGGGGGGCTACAGGAAAGATGGGGAGGGACTCTTTATGAGGGAGTGTAGTGATCGGATGAGGGGTAACAGTTTTAAACTGCAAGAGAGTAGATTTAGATTAGATATTAGGAAGAAATTCTTTACTGTGAGGGTGGTGAGACACTGGAACAGGTTGCCCAGGGAAGTTGTGGATGCCCCCTCCCTGGAAGTGTTCAAGGCCAGGTTGGATGGGGCTTTGAGCAACCTGGTCTAGTGGAACGTGTCCCTGCCCACGGCAGGGAGGGTGGAACTAGATGGTCTTTAACCAACTCTAACCATTCTATGAGTCTATGATTCTGTATCTGGTGCCCGCATGTAAAATGTGAAATAGACTCTTGATGTCCTTCTGTTAACATCAGTCAAACTGCACCTGACCATGTATGTGATGATTTTCCCTCAAAGTAAATGCTTTATAGCAATAAATTACTGCTAGTTTTTATAGACTGTCAAGCAGGGCTTGCATTTTTCCATATCAGCTGATAACATCAGTAATGAAATCACTTAGTCAGCTCTTCATTATCTTATCAAAGCCAATGAGACTTTTTATATTAACTTCAAGAGAAGTTAAAAAAAAAGTCTGCTAAGTTAAGATATCCTTTGCTGATGCAGAAAAAAATGAATCTCTGAACTGTGATAAGTAAAAAGTCTATTGGCTCATCTTAAATTAATTTTGCTATGCACATTACAGGAACTAACCACACAGCATATATATAAATGATTTTATGATAGTATATCACTGCTAAATTTATCAAATCTAAATTTGATCAAATCTAAATTTGATGAGTATAGTTCACAGCTTATTAAACTAATTTAGCATGAGAAATAGCACACTCGTAACTTCATTATTCAGAATACACTACTTTGAATATATGTATGGTATTTCAAGGAAGAAAAAGCTTTTGCATGCTGAGAACAAGGTACTGTCAGGCTAAGGGAGTGGAGAAGACTGTCTCCTAAGCATGTCTCCCCAGGTCTAACACAGAAAACAGACCAGTGCCTTGAAAAAGCAGAAACAGACCCACTC